ACTATTATACAACTGAAGATTTACTTCTTCCTTCTGAGAGTAATAGTTACTCTGAAATCAGTGGAGTAATGACAGCTTACACTATGTGACAGGGAGCAAGAGAAAATGGACTCCCATACTTAGCATTAGACCTGATAGAAAAAAAGACTGTAGTCCTCTGAGTGTTTACCCAATTGCCTGAAATCCTATAGACTCTTCTTTCTCTTAAATCCAAATCCTCCCATTGTCTCGAAGCTCCACTGATTTTTTCCAGTCATCTCCACAGAAACTCTATGTCCATTTCCAGTTTCTTTGCTTCACCTACATCCATAAGAAACATTTTCTGTTACTGAATGGGTCCTTTCTGGGAAACCTCATGTTTGCTCTGATATCATAAACCTTAACCATCTGGTGCCATGGCACCAATTTCAAAAATACTTTTTTTGATTATTAACTAACCTGTTGTGGATTAACCCCACTAGGCAGATAAGCACCACACAGCTGCTTACTCCCTCCCTGCACGTCCTCCCCCTCCCCTCCCCCCGCAGTGGGACAGTGGAAAAGGAATAGAAGAGTAAAGGCTAGCAAACATCTGGGTCAAGATAAAAATTATTTCATAAGTGAAGCAGAAGTGGAAGAAAAAAGAAAACAAATAACACAAAACCAGTGATGCAAAGGCAATCACTTACCATCTCCCATGGGTAGACTAATGCCCAGCCAGTTCCCAAGCAAAAGATGGCTAACCATCGTAAAATCTCCTTTTTCCTTTTTATTGTTGAGGATGACATTATGTGTCATGGAATAACTCTTTGGTTTGTTTGGGTCACGTTCCTGGCTGTCCACCTTCCCAAACTCTTGCATATCCCCCAATCTATTCACTGTGGGGGCAGAGTGAGGAACAGAAAAGGCCTTGATGTTGTGCAAGCACTGTTCAGTAACAATGAAAATATTGGTGTGTTATCAGCATTGCTTTGGTCACAAATCTAAAAAACTCAGGACCATACAAACTACTGTGAAGAAATTAACTCCACCTCAACCATACTCAGTACATAACCATAATTTGCTTAAGAATTTTACACATTTTCTCAGACACATATAAAATAATTTGAAAACTGTAAAACTATCATGATTTTGATAACAACACAACAGATATTAGTTGAAAGAAATAAAATTATGGCAGTCAACTTGAGACTGATTATGGTACTGATTTATTTATGAGAATTTCTTCAGATGACTTAATCAATACTGACTTCACTGAGAGTAGTTGTTTTACTTAGGTCTCATCGAACTGAGAAAATTTACCAGAATGTGGCTTGTTTAAGTAGTATTTATGATACTATCTGCTGCTCTGTGATTTTGATTTTAGAATCCTCAAAAGTTTCTTAAAATTAAAAATATATGTGCATATACATATATATATGTATGCACACAAACACACACACACTCACTCACTCGCTCATATATATGTATATAAATAATGTACCTCTTAAGGTTCACTCAGAAACTTAAAAGCTAATCAGGAATACTGTATATTATATTTTGTCATTTGAAATACAAGTGAAGACCTTGAATGCTGTTTTACAATAATCTACTGGTTCTAGTTCTAAGGAAACTAAAGAATTGTGACAGACTTGTGTGAGTTCCAGTAGGTTAAAGCTTAATTCAGCAGTATTTGTAAAGCATTTGAATGGTAGAATCATAAAATTTCTGAGATAATCCAAAAGAATAAATGAGCAGAGGATCCTGAGTTCAAGACTGTGCTGGGAGGAAACTGTGAAATTTTAAAACCCATGATACCTAAACATTTTAGAGCCTGACTAATATATGTTCTCATCATTAAAAAGTGTAACATTGGAAGGGTTTTAACAAATGACAAAACTCCTAATTTTCTATCTTACTGCTGTTGACAATTTCTCTTGATCTTAACCAGTCCTGCATTTCCAAGAACTAATACAGACAGTGACGTCACTCATAAATTATGGGGAGATTTATATTTCCTACTTTCTTTTAAATTCTTGAAAATATTACATAAATCCCATTTGCAGTCAAAGAGCACTGAAGTCTGTCCTTTTCTAGTCTTGTGCAACCCCTAGTTGTCTGTAGAGTAGCCATACCACTTCGTGGAAGTTATTGTTCATGTACAGGGTTATTATAGATGCCATCTGGGGTAGTGACAGAGACTAACATGGTTTAAATGATGGGCAAGAAGGCACTGCAAGATAGATGAAAATTTAAAAGTAGTGTAACAGCATGAGTCATCTGCTCTAAGTGTTAGAGATCCTTGGTTATGAATTCCCTTGCCAACAGTAGAAGGACTTTATATTTGGCTACATTCACCTTCCAGTAAGGAAACAAACTGCAAGAAGCATAGATTATTTTAATACCTTGTAACTGGATATTAATTTCAATGCTTTTATGGTATATTATTTCAGAGATGAGTAGTGGGGTTCCCTGGTGAATTTCCACCATTATAAATCCCCCTGACTACAAGCAAATAGCTTGTAATGAATGACACCTTCAAGGTATAGTGAGATTGTTACCTGCTGTCACAGTTGGTAAAAAATAAAAGCAACTAATTTATCCCATTATTTTCACTCACTCATTTTAATAGTTGAACAACTGGCTCAAAATTTGTGATAAAACCAGGTACTTTCTTAAAGTTACATTTTAATATTTGCAGTTCAGTTGGTACTGCAGTTGTGAAATATTATTTTTACTTGATTAAAATTTTTAGGTACTTCCATGTCCTTTGAAAGCATATATTCCCTTTAGCACCTGGCAGAAGAATCAGGCTAGATTATTTAGAAGGGAAAAAGAGGAAAGAATTTATCTTACCCAAGATAAAGACTACAGAAGAGGTACTCTTTGAAGATGGAATAGGTTTTGAGATCTTAGAATTATTTCCTCCTTGGCCTGAATATTCCCTTTTTGCTGGTAGAAACATTAAAGGAGAAAGAGGGCTATTGAAACTGTCCAACACATATCCTCATGCTTATTTTTTTACCTGTGTCCAGTGCCCCTGTGATCATTTACAAAGTGAAGTTCACACTGAATCACTGGGGTAGATATATCTTGCAGCACCTTTGCAGAAATCAAATAATTGTTTTGCCAAATGGTTCATCGTCCTTCAAAAAAAATGTGAATATTGGACTCAATGACTTCTGTACTGTCAACAGCAAATGTTCAGAAGCATATGTTAGGCTTACCAAAAGTTAATTTTCATAATAGGAGTTGAAAAAACATATAATTCACAAGCAATATTCCGTGTTTCAGGATATTAGAGGTTGTATTTCCAAGCTTCACTCACAAAGATCAGAATAAAAAGTTCTTATTTTAAAAAGTATATGTGTAAAGTAATTAAGATAATAGTGCTTTAAGAAACAAATATGTTGAGATTTATGATGATCTCACACAAAATGATGAATGATAATCAGTATTTCTACTGGTCTTGTATTTCACAGCAAGTTATTTCTGATATATTACCATAAACAAACAATTATTTTTCTGGAAACTGAGAATGATGTGAGTCTCTGGATTCCACATAAAATTCTTCTTAAATACTTGGAATAAAGCTTGTAAAATACAAATCAGGTATTTTTATTAATAATAGCTATAATAGCCATTATTGAGAGTATTACAAATAAAAGAATAAAAATATCATCCCCTTCCCCTCATCGCAGAAAATAAGTTGAAGGGTGGATTTTGGAAGTGCTTGCTGTATTACTCAGAGGGAGGAAAACATGAGAATGTCATTTGTAATATTGTATCAATCATTGCTGTTGCAGCTTTTCTACCCATTGTCATGTCTGACCTTCAGACCCCAGAGAGACAACAGAACAGTAATAGTTTGTCTTGCTTAGTCTACAACCAGGAAAGAAATAACCTGAATCTCATGCACAGCTTTATGTTCTGTGCAGCAGGTTTCCATTGTGTTGACTGTTGCTGACAAGAATCAGGGTGAAATGTTGATGAAATTGATGGAGAGTGGAGCATCGTTGGCAAAGTGGAAAACCAGAAACTTCCTATAGCCTCCCCTTTTAGTGTGGGCTTGAGAATAAAGAGATTGTTTAAATTATTTTTAATATAAAGGAAGAGTACAATATTTTGAAAATTAGAATCCAATCTTTTTGTAAAACAGGATAATTATAATAAAATTGGCTGCACATCCAGTGGCTGCATAGAAAGCAGGGTATTGAGAAAACATCACCATATAAGAAAAAGTAGAGGTATAATTAAACAAGCATAAATAGTAGCAGGTGTCTGAATATTGTCTGGCTTCCTTTTACTTTCCCCCTTCTAACTTGCAGCAATGATTTATAAATGTGAGTTTTAAAAGCATTTCTCCAGCACTCCTTGGTAGTAATTGTATTCACCATTACTGACAATATCTCTGCATCAGGACAGACTATATGAGAGTGCTAGTTCTTTGTATCCCTCTTCCTTTGATCACTGCTCCTCTAAATAATATAGGAGATTGCCAAGATTTTACTTTAGTGTCAATTTATCACAAAGAAAGCACCACTGCTTCTTATTGGCTTCAACTGATGCGTTCCTGTTGAAAGCAATTTTTATAGCACAACTATTGCTAAAATGCACTGTTACAAGACTGGAATTCAAGAGTGGATTTCTCATACACTGAGATGTACCATACACTGAGATTCACAAAATTTATTTACTGATCTGTTGGCATTTAAAAATTCCTTAAAATATGTAAGCTTATACTGACTTAGCACCTTTGAATTGTATTCTCTGTCTTTATTTTCTCAGTTCTTATATTTTTTATTGATTTTGTTTTGTTTTGTTTTGTTTTAATTTCTATACCTCCCCTCCCCCTGCTTTTAAGACTGTTCTCTCACTGCAGAGCTTTCAGAGGGAGACATCTATTTTACATGTTATGGCCCAGTACGTGACATGGAAGCCAAACTCCAACAGCATTCTCAAAGAAAGCCTCTGTTATTTGGCTACACTATTTAGCTTTAACCTCTTTGCACATGAAATTATCCAGTAAGTGCCTGAAACTTTAAAAGCAAAGCAATTAACATGAAATCAAAACTGAATACAAACTAAATATATGGAAAACACAAAGCCAAATAAATGGATAAACAAGCCTATGTAAGTACAGTGTTTTTTCTCTTTCAAAGCTTCTATTTCTGCTTACCAGACAAATGCATAGAGCATTAAGAAATCCCCAGGAAAAAAACCTTCATTTTATTTCTAAGTATATTCCTGTGATAAGTCCAAGGGGTTAGTGCAGTATGCGTAGCTGAAATAGGTACATAAAATTCATTTAACTTTACATATATTTAAAAATTCAATAGCTCCAGTTGGTACAGAATGTTAAGAAAATCTGAATTTATACCAGAATAGACTATTTTCATACTACTGCAAAAGGACTATTTTGCTATCCACTCAAAAATCACATAATTCATATGCAGATATAATACATATTTTATCTCCTGATAAGTAGAATTTCCATAGTATATGAAATTGTAGAAATTGGAAATATAAAAGCATACTAGATTAATTGTTATTTCTGTCTTTTTCACTCTCTCTCACAAAGTGCTAGAAAACTGAAGTGATTAGAAGCTTGTCACTTGATTGCCATAAAGTCTTCTATGAAATTGTGCATGTAGTCAGCAACTGCATTATTTGAACATTTAATACACTTATTATCACACTTTTTCACTGGAATAAAGGCCTACCAATGAAATATTTTCAACCTCCACAAAGTTTAAATGCTGAATTTCTATAGCATCTTAACTAGAACAGGAATGTAGAGAATTAATGTTTAACACGACATATGACTGTATCTATGATAAAGAGGCATAGAAAGGAAGTTGCTTTTAATTAGAAATGGAAATACATGATCAGAAATTGATCTGAGGAATCATAGGCTTTCTGGACAGCTCATTTTCTCCTTTGAAATACTTAAATTATAACTTCGAGTTCAGGTATGTAATAGAACTCCCCTGGTTTAATAACTTTGCATGCATCAGCTGAGCTCAGCTGAGAAAATACGGGGTGGAATGCAGTTCAGCTGTGTGTCTAAGCCAACAGAAAATTCCTTCAGAAATAGATATCCATAAAGAAGAGGACAAATACATTGGTCTGATAATGAGTGATTCACAAATTCTTTGGTCAAAGTTATGACATTCTGTAGAAACCCAATCTTTTTTCTGGCTATACAATTTCCTTTTCTGGATTATAAAAAAATACTCGAGTCAGTTGAAAACACCACTTCTGTTTTCACCTAATTAATCTTCCAGACCCTTCCAAGAATTCCAGACTTCTTTTCATTACTTTCCTACTCCGTTATAAATTCAGAAAAATTCTGGTAAATAAAATATTATCGTTCATTGCAAAACTGATGTAACTAAATAGACCAGTCATTTGGTCATTTTTTTTTTTTTTTTATAATTGGAAAACATTAATTTGTCAAAACAAAACTTTTGTTGTTAAACATAGACGTTTTTGTGAAAGTTTTGTCAAAAACTGTTTTTGAGTTCACAATGAGATATATGATCACAAAAAAAGTAAAAACTCCAAACCTTCTCTCCTCCCTTTTTTAGTCTTTTTGATGATTGGAACATTTCCCAGGCAGGCAGTAATAAATCTAAGTTTAAATCCTTGCCTGATTCAGACATAAACTGGAACCCTAATATTTAATTTCCATTTTGAATGCCTCAAAAACTTAGAAAAAGAATCACTCTATTGCTCCACTCCAACAAACATTTAATTATTTATACAGAATGAACAGATTCAGCTGAGAGAATGATATCATAACTTCATGTGTTTGAATCAGAGAAAACATCTGTTTGAAAATGTTTTATCTATCATAAGCAAGTGCATTAGCTAACAACACATGGACTATATCAAGCAAAATCAAGCTTTAGTTGTCCCTGTCAGTCATTTTGAAAAGAGTTGCAAAGGACATTTTCCTTCTTATATGATGAAGTATATAATGAAGTGTCCAAAATAGAACATGAATCTCCATCATATTCATCATGTTCCCCATCATGTTATAGCTTCCTGTGTAGTCCTTGTCATGATATAGTAGCTGGACTCCTGCATATGTGTATTCACTAATACAGATATGGCAAACACTATCAATCAAGAAATTGATAAACATTTAAAATAATTCCAGAAGAATGGAATTCCATTAAAACTGTCTGGCAGCCTTCAGCTGATAAAATCTTTTCTCCAAAAATATTCATACAATGTAAAGGAAATATATCTCCATGTTCCTTATGTCAACAACTGCATCTTTTAGAATATGAAGCACCTATCAGCATAGATAAGATCAGCTATTTATACATCACATTTTTTCTTTCAGAATTTGATCTAGCTGATAGATCATAGGGCAATCATTTCCTCATTGAAAAAAGATGTAAACATTCCTACTGTTAAGATCACCATCAATTACACACTGCAAATCAATATATTCACAAAGAATTTCACCTTTATCATTTATTTAAGAAATGTAATGATTATAAAGATTAAGTAGACAAAGATTAAAACAGACTTACCAGAAACTAGAGTAAAGGAGAGCAAGTCATCTGAATGTACTTTTGACAAGACAATTGTAATAGAACTCATGAGGTAGAGACTGGTGGTATTGCAGTTGGGCTTTCTACAGTGAGCTTAGTTAATGTCACCTGAAGATGAAGAATAAGCAGGAGGTAAGAGATGGGCAGGATGTCAAGGAAAAACTCCCCCTCCCTCCCCAAAGGAGGAAAAATAATTTTCCCCAAAGGAAAAAATAATTTTGGACTGACCAAATTTGTGGGGGAGTTTTCATTTTGAAGTCAAACCTAAAACTCAGCTATTTAAACAACATTCTGTATACTGCTAATGTGAGGAAGCAACTAATAGTGAGACATTCACATACCATTATTGCCCTCTCAATAGCACAGAAGACCTTGACAACAAAGAAATATGTAGTCTTAAGGAACCAGGAGGATTTAAAAAGTACTTACAAATGTTTGTGCCTCCCACATGCTTTGTACTTATTTAATTTGCATTCAGAGCATGCATTAGACAGATCATAAACAAGTGGTGGATGACAGCAAGACAGGTATATAACACCTTGGAATGCTGAACTAACATACTTTTGAGTATTGCAAGTTATAGAACAGCTTTTGGGAAGAACACATCCCAGAAGCTGCAACACTTGCTATCATGTAGGTATGATGTCATTTGTGTACTAAGGAATAATAATAATAAAAAGTACCTTCTCTTTCCATTGTTTAGGTCCTCCAGTTGAGGTGGAAATTTCTAATAGTTCCTTCAAATATTACAGTATAGACATTTTAAAAAAAGTTGACTATTTTTTAATTAATAAAATGCTGTCACGGTTTTCTGTGATGAGGTGTAAGCTCATTAAAAATGATAGTGAAGGTAAATCAAGTTTCCAGTTCTCGTGTGTGTAATATTACCAGCCAGACATTTCAGATGTCTTCTCAGAGCACTTCATAAAGTATGAGAACTTTGCATGAAAATTCATATACATGAGACAAAGATCTGACTGTTCTCAGGCTTATTTTATTTGTCCAGAGAAAGAATAAACTCTTACTCTGCTGTTTGGATTACCACAGATGAAAAAACGCTTACAACATGGCAGTGCACTAAAGAGCACACTGCCTCTGGGAAAAGAGGCAACTGTTGTTACTGAATCCTCCTTATTTTAAAAATGTCCATCATTAAAGCTATTTCTGAGGTATATCCTTGTATGAGTTCCAGTTCATATATAGTGCATTTGCTAAAATATACCAAAGAAAAAAATATCTATAGTTTAAATAATGGGAAAAGAGAATCATTATATCTCTAAAGAACAGATTAATAGTGATATGAACAAAAGGAAATCTGGAAAAAAACAAAAAAATATTCATATCTTTTTCAGGGATTGTAAATTACATTTGCCTATGTTCTTACATTTTATTTGATTTTCTCATAGAAGTCCCATAGAGTATTATGAAAGGATGATACATAAATGTTTCCATTGGATTTAAAGGTGATCTGGAAACAACGTGGTTGAACTACTAATAAAAAAAACCCTATAGGTTTCTATATTGTTGGCCTACAACTGTCATGGTAGTTATGCATATGCTACTTAAGTTAAAAGAGATTTTCCTTTTTTGTAAGTCAGTCTGGAACTTTCACTGTACAGGACTAGGATCTGTTCTCTCAATGCCAGAGAAGTCTCTCTCTGCTGGAGAAGTCACATCTGTCATTGAGTCCTGATGGTGCCTACATAGGAGAAACAAGCCTGATCTTGTTCTCTTTAATATTGGTGGCAACATTCCCAGCAACTTAAAGGCAAGAGCTGAGAGAGGACCTAAACACTGCCTTCATGATGTTAGCTTCCTTCAGCTCCTGCAACATACTGAAAACTTGAACTTTAATATCCATAAATCCCAGAGGACTCATTCCTATATAGCAAAGTAAAATTTGCTTAGGCATATGCCATCAACATACAAAGGCATTCAGCAGGTTTTTACTGAACATACCAACCCTGGGAAATGTATGGATTCCTATAGATGGCTGAACATCTACTAACAGATACTTGTCAGCAGTCATTGAGACAATAAGATATCAATGAGAATGAAATTATTAATGTCAACAAAGGAGCTTTAAAATCAAAGATAAGCAGTGTAAAAGGGCCTTTATGCAGAATCACTCTGCTGACAATAGTAGCTGACAAAAGTAAATTCAACCTTTCTAGGTCAGCTCTCTCCCTTACCACAGACAAAAAAGATACATGTTTATCGATTCTGAGTTGTAGATTGAGCAAGACAGGACAGTCTAATGATTCACCAAAAAATTGTATCTCCAGCTTCCACAGGTTTGAAATAGCTCCAAATTAGACAGCTCCAACAGCCTTCATTTTCCATGCCAGCAATCTACATTATTTGAGGTGCAAGACAGTCTATCTCCCTTCCTTAAATGGAAAGCCTCTCTTTTAGCTGTATGCCTGGTCAAAAGTTCATGTCACATTTGCATGGTACCACCTGCACTCTCTGTGGAATGATGTCAATGTCTAGAGAAGATAATGAATTATGATTTAATCTTAGAAAAGACCGTGAAGTATAGTGTTGAACATATATAAATCATAATATTGAGCTAAAACAGTTCCAATATATTCTTTTAGGACTGATCTATGAAAATGCTAAGTGATTCCAGAACATTCTGAATGGCAGAACAGTTTTTATTTGAGACAATATATCAGCTTATAAGGATGAGGAAGAGTAGGGTGAACACTGCTTTTTAGCTGCTCTGAGCACTCTGTTTTTCTCCTTTAAGCTGACTCACATCAAGCACTGGATTCTCTGTGTTTTAATTTCTTATGAACAGCAGCAAATCATCAAAAGCACAGCAGCCCTCATAGACATTTCAGAGCTGACAACTCTATTCATTGTGCACAAGCAGGTACATTATTGCTGATAAAATTTTGGGTTTCATCTTAATCAGATTGTTTTATATCAGAAATGTATTTGAGTGATTTTAGGACGTCACTACAACTTTGAGAGAGAGTTTAACAACCTCTGAGTTATGTTTTGCTTGTTTTTCACAGCTCTCCTCCATAGGTATTACGTATGTCTGAAATATGATTGAACAATGTGAAGTTTAACAGGATCGTACTAGGATCAGAATATGCTATCATGCAGTTAACAGTGATATAAGTACTGAGAACAGAGTTATTTTGTGTGGTTTTCCATTTGGCTTAACCTGGGTAATATGTTACCTTACTGGTTTACTTTTGTTTGAATTATCCTGAGGTACACACAGGTCTCCAAGCATTGACACTGAGAAATTGCAATTATTATTGAGTTGGACTTGGATATATTTCATTAGACTGATATTTATTTTTCTCTCCTGAACTGCAATGTATAGTTGTCATCTTCAACTCAGAACACACCAAGTTTTTACAGAACTTGAGCACATTACTGAAGTCACATTGCAATAACTCTAATAAATTGCACCTGTGAACTCCTCTCTGGTTTATTTATATACTGTATCACAGGTTATTAACAGAAAATAACCCACTGAGATACAACATTCTTGTTTACAGTGAGATGCTGGTGGTGACAGCAGGAATATAAAACATAAAATCAACAGGGAACAGAGAACTAATAAAAAGACAAGGGTCTATAAAGCAGGAAAAAACCCAAAGCCAACTGTGAAGGCAAAAATAAAATAAAATAAACTTCCATCATAAAACAATCAAAATCTGTGGTATATTTATAGATACCAGGGAGCACAAATTCCCACTGAGCTTGAATATTTATGGGTGTCAGGAAATCTGTGAGCTATTTAGAATCAAAACTTGAACAGCAGGACATATCTCTCTAAAAAGCTGATTACATCTACTTCACTATAGCAAAGGAAAAAAAAAAAAAAAAAAAAAAAAGAAAAAAGAAAAGGGGAAAAAAATCACCCAGTGAGAAAACTCTTACATTTAAAGAGAAAAATAAAAAATTATTTGAGACACTGAGAAGCTTTTGAAACTGTTTAGAGTTGTTATTCCTCTTAAAATTGTTTTCAGATGAACATCTGGTATCTTTACAGCTATTCTGATACATACATTGGATAGATGCCATGAGTATATTAACCGTTCGATAACTCAGCATCAGAAGTTCTCTCTGTGATACCAAGAGAAAAATCACCTGAGGAAAGAATAAGAACCTGGAAGTCGTGAGGATAAGGTGATTATTTTATATATCATTTTGTATTATATTCTGTAGAATGTACACTATAAAAGCCAGTAAAGCTCCTTGTTGTTCTATAAATCTCCACATCACACTTTATATTGTGCTTCTCTATACCTGTATTTGGTATCACCTTAGTTTCAAAGGGACAAAAGGATTTGTCTGAAATAAGCGAAAATAAAGCTTTTTAAAAAAGAAAGATAACAGATGGGGAGTATCTCTTCTTACTCCTGATCATTTGCAGAAAACAGGAAATGCTACAATTTTTACCACTCATTAAGTGACAAATTCAAAAGTACCATCTATCAAAATAAATGAATGACAGAAATATTTCTAGGCTATAAGTATATAAGTACTATGTTGTCAGGCTGGAAAACATAGCCACAAAAGTCTGGTGAGGTTGAAAAAGGCTAAATGTTGGTATAAGGCACACAGCTGCATCCTCATCTAACGCCGAAGTGCATCTTCTCCTTTATCTCATAGTGAAATAGTACATTCCTGGGACAGGGGAGGTAAGAAGTCACTCAGTCTTGGAGAACATCACCAGTCAGACTAACAGAGTCCTGAGGGTTGGAGATAGGACAGAGAGCTTGCATTTATGTCACCAGGGGAAAAATTACAAGAGAAATAGGTAGGAGAAAAATGTTGCTGGACAGCTCTTGAGAATCCAGTCCTGCTTCTCCTCCTCTGAACCAAGTTTCTGTGGTTCATACCATGAACTCTTTGATATGATTTCCCCATCCCTCAGACTTATTCCACCATCCATGCACTGAACAACTGCGCAATTACTCTGAAGACCCTTAACATCATGATGTGGCTTGGTTCAGACAACATGGAGTCACACAGCACTCCTTTCCATAAGAGTGGGCTTTTCATGAGTGGGAAGGTTTTATAATGTAAATAATACTCTTCTTGGTCCTCTTCAGATTTTGGCTGTTTCTAGTGAAATACAATAAACTAATTTCAGTCAGTACAGGTACTGCTGTCTGGGCTAGCCACTGACCTGCTGCATTAGTTCTCTATACTATTCAATAAGGTTAAATGAGATCATCAGCTCTCCAGGAGCTGCATATCTTGTGGGGTAACTTCACTGAGTGCTTACTTTGGGTGGATGCCTTGCTGGCATTCTGCATCTCTAGCAAGGAATATTCCTGATTTTTTTTTCTTTGCTTTTCCCCCCTCTTCATTCTGAACAACAAAATATTTCACAATTTTGTCAGGAAGGCTGAAGTAAAGAACCACCTATGTTAATTTTTTTCAGCTAAAGCAAATCATCATCATTTTTACAAATAGCTTCAGTTTATGTATCAACTTCCCACTCACTCCTACTAATGAGCACAGATATCTGATTTGTTGACTTCTTTCTGGGTTTAAAGTCATTGTCTATAGCAGTTGCAGTGAAAGTGATTTACAGCCTGTAAGTCATGTTCATTCTCTGTGAGTTTTTCCAAGGAGAATATTTGCTGCCTTATATGCTTTTGAGGAAAATCTTCCCCTAATTTTTACTAAAAAATAGAGGGCAACAATCCCCTGTACTATTTCCTGTATGCAACCAATTATTCCCATTCTAAATATTATATATTAAGATGATTAGTATCATCTGATTCCTTGTCATTCTACCAAATACGCTACTGTCTTCAGTGGATCTTGGAAATTAACTGATCTAATCCAAAATAATTATTGTTTGCCTTTGCCTTGGGATAGTGTTAATATCTAGTGTTGCTTACACTTGGTTCCACTTAATCCAATATATATTGGTTTGAATGTAAAATTACATATTTAATTGTCAGTAAAAATGTTAATAGTATGAAAAAGTAACAAAGAAAACTTTCTCATCTGTTGTGTCTTAAGCAGTGATATGCAAATTGAACTTTAGTTGACAAATCAGTAGTGGTCACCTAATCTACGATATAAAGCTATTTGAATTTATAATGGCCATTTTTGCTTAGTTCATATGTATCTGATGCATTTAAAAGAAAAACAAAAAATATTTACAAAGGGGTACAATGGCCCCTGGAGACACAACTTCTCATTTTCTATTCAGTTGGCAAGAATACTAATTGCATTATCACACATTCAGCAACATTCAGAAAAGTTATTTATTAATTCATCCTTAAGACCCAGGATGTCTGGCAGGTTACTGCCAATAAGCACTACCTTGAGAATCTCAGGTGATAGTATACAAAGAAAATTAAATGTAGAGCTGCTTGAAAAAAATTGAAAAATTGAAACTGAAAAAATTGAAAAGATAAACCTCTGAGATTTGTTTCTTTACTAGCTTCATGACTGAGTGAAAAAATGTACTTGTCTCCATGAGCAAAACAAAACAAAAGAACCCCATAACTTTAATAAGCATAAAAGAGAAAGGAGGAAAGGAAGGGAAAATATATAGGCTGATCCACAAATCATAAAGCATGAGATTATAAAGGATGCAGGGGAACCAGGAGTTGACATGTCAAACAAGAAGCTGCATGCCATAACCTGATCCTCTATCATGTGTGTGTTGTGTTCATCTCCACTGATTCTGGAGCAAGCCAATGAAATTCCAGAATAGTTTTCAATATTTTTTTTTATGTTTTTTTTAAATTATATTTTGTGATTGGTTTGTGTGTGGTGGGGGTTTGGTAGCAGAGCAGGGGGCTACAGAGGTGGCCTATGTGAGAAGTTTTTCAAAGCTTCTCGATAAGCTGCAATAACATGATGTTCTGTGTCAGCAATTTTACCTTCTTACCTCGTTTTCAGATGAAAACTCTGTTGTTGCACTCTGACACATCTAAACATTTATATTAAAAGAAAATGTGTGATGGCTTGAGGTTGTAGCACAGAGAGTTCGAGGTCCATTGACGTAGTATTTTCTGTATGAGTGTGCAGCTTATACAGCTCTTTTGCTTTCAGTTTTAATTTAGCCTTTTATTATATCTCAGGAAGTAGATCTTCAGCTGATGTTAACAGTAACAGTTCTATTAATTTTAATAGTTCTTCATGATTCATCACACGAATCTGAAGGACAATGCATTTGAACAGACCTGATTATTTCTTGTTTCTTTTCCAACTTTCCCTGCAAGTCTGCCAGTCACCATTACACGGCTCAGATCACCTTATGTTCTGCTGACTCAGTCACTCATAGTAAAGCAATAAGCACCAAAGGAGATGTTTTTTAACAAGTAATTCTTCTGACAAGCTCAGTGCGAGTATTTCTAACCAGAGTTATTACCCAGTCTTACTTCAGGAAATTCAAGAAATTCAATATAAACTTTCCTACTAACCTTTAAGTATGTATAGCTCTGGACCATAATATTCATACGTTTTAATGTCATAAAGGACCACAATATAAGGTGACTGTGTAAAACAGACCATAGTGTTTACCAAGGGATTTCTAAATACCATCCAAAAATATTTCTTGTGTTATTAAATATTTTAGAAAATTTTAAATCTTGATACTGAGTTAAAATGACTGAGAAAAATACCACATCTTTGATAGGTAATTTATTAAATTATTAATATGTATAGTATTATTATCATCCTTAAAATTTTCTTTCTTTTCCATTATACTCTTCTCTCCTTTTAATTTATAAAGCTGTTTACTCTCTTTTCCAACTAAAGATAGCTAGAGATAAACTCTCTTTTAGAGATAAACTCTCTTTTCCAGCCAGTATTTTGAAAATCTCATTAAAATAGCTCCTTACTTTATTTCCCAAGAAAAAAAATCATAGCAAGGCAGTTTTTTCATGGTTTTACTATCATTTTGGCATTTTTTTTCAATTTTTATTTTGTTTCCCAAAGTTATATAATAAAACAGTATACAGTAATGACCTCATCAAAAATTCCTCAGAAACATCTTTAGCATGACTGAATTTTCATGCTTAAATATCATCAAACAATATCCCTTTTAAGCACAACACTATCTTAAAAGCTCATTTTCTACTGGTTATTTCAATACTGTGTTCCTTTTCATAGTCACTGACTGTAGGATAATGTTTCCTGTCTAATGAAGTGTAACCTAAGCTTTTTTTTTTAAGCTATTTGAATTTGACTATATAGAGCATAGTTCAGATTAATGTCTTCTACCAAGCAATTCAGAGCGATCAGTTTAGTGGACTTGTACCTACTGTTATTTACTACTGCATTGATTTTTGCAATGTTAGAAGTTATTGGTTTGGGTTTCTTTTATATTCCTGATAAAATTTTTACTATTTTTTCAGTGATGGAAACATTCTTGAGGCTCGGAATCTGAAAACACAAGGAGTTTGGACCTGGATACTAATTTAACCCAGTTGACCTATATAGTATCTCTGAACAATCCAAACTGCTGGACAGAATGTAAATACATTTTCCAGTGTTTGAGTAATGGGCTCAGATTTGTCACTCCACACTCTACCCCAGCATCATCGATGTGATCGTAACTCTACAATATCCTTCTTTCCTTACTATCTTAGCAACTTCATCTGTCAGCATTAGTTGAGTCTAACTCTACTAACAACAATTTTAGGATCTTTATGCAGTATTTATAACATCCATTCAATCTTATTATTACTGGTCTTCACAGCAATCCTGTATGAGCTAAATATGCTGGGCAGAAAAAAGTTCATGTTTCAAACAGACCCCCATGGGAATATCGTGTCTTCATAATTGATTACTGAAAAGGCAATGAAGCAGACCTTAAAACAAGTGCTGTGTTTTGGCCTTATTGTACATTACTAATAATAATATTCTCAACAGAGCTGAGCAAACAGCTCACTGTGTTTCGGTGAGGTTATTTGCGGAGCGAGATATTGTCAATGTAATGGTAGCAGAGTCAAATTCATGGACTATGTTTACAATGTGCTAAAGTGTTATGTTAAATGTGGTAAAGTACTGTTGAGACTGCTCTCATAGGAGAATGCAGAATGAAGTATACTGAAAAGTCAAAGTAATGCAGCATGTCAGATAGACTGCTTTCAAGTGTGGCATCTATTCTATCTATTCTATCTCACTTGTCTTGCTGCAGGACATACAAGGTCTTCTGACATCTGTGTTGTGCCTTAATGCACCCCACACATCATGGTTTGAGCCTACTCAGCAGCTAAATGCCACACAGCCACTCACCCACCCTCCCCCCACTTGGGAACAGGGAGGGAATCAGAGGGGTAAAGGGAGACTTGCAGGTGGAGATAAAAAGAGTTTAATAACAGTGACAGAATAATACACTGACAGCAGTATCACCAGGTAATGCACCATACAGCTGTTCACCTCCCACCAACCAACACCCACCTGCTCCAGGCTGGCCATCCCAAACACAAAGACACCACACCAACACTCTCAGAAGTGAGAGCCCCTCCCACCCCACTCCTGCCTTTATATAGTGAGCACAAGGTCACATGACATGGCATATCGGCCAATCGGGGCCCAGCCCTCCAGCTGTGCTCCCCCCGCCCCCGCACACAGGTGAGGGCACTGGGACCTGGGGAGCCCCTGGGGTCTCAGGGTGCTGCAGATCCTCCAGCTGCCAGACCAACGGGAGCTCTAGGCCAGCCCCAGCCAGGACACCACATTACCACACACATGAAGGAATCTTCACAGTTGAGGTAGTTTTTGCTCTTCTCCCAATTACACAGACAACATAATCAATATATAACTGTAGAATGAGATCTTATACTATTTCACTATCTGCATCTGTCTAATAAAAATATTATTACAGAAAAGATATATATTTCAGCTTCACTTCATATATATATATATATGTCCTTTGGTACCCATATTAATTTTTCATTATCTCCCATTTTTCCAAGCTATTACTTATGTAGTTGGAGAATGAAAAAAGATAGAGCAGCAAATGTGACAGTGATGAGGGTGTCAAGATAGCCACATGCAGTGCTACAGACCGTAATTGACTGCAGTAGGTCATTTCGTCTCACAAGTCATACTCTCCTGAACATTGTAAGCCTCAGCCTTAGATGAAACCATGATATAGGGCCTAAGTAGAAGCACAAAAGCTTAATTCATCATAAATGGCTAAGACACTCTTGTCTACAGTGAGGGTTTGATGCTGATGTTGCAGATCTACTAAATTTATGCTCACCATCTCACAGTGATTCTGAAATTGCAACAGATATCTACTAGAGAACCACGACTTTTGAAGTAGAAATTCACCTTCATGATCTCTTAGAATAGCCAGCACAGGATCTGGAACAGAATAAATCTTATTTCCAGGCTGTCATTTCACCCTATATGTAGGTGAGCATCTCTCTGCCAGACTCATGCTGGGTATAATACAGCTGTTTGGCATTAGTGAGTCCACTAGAGGTGACATTGTCAAGAAAGCATTATGGGATTTTAATTATTATCTCCTGGTTATGCATCTAGCTTAAGGTCTTCTGACATGGCTTTCAAAAGTGGATCAATCCTAGCATGAACAATATTATCAAGTTCAGGATGGCTTTCTCTGTGCTACCCAGTTTGTACGGCAACAGTGGGATGCCATACCAAGTGGAGCAGCTACTACATGACCATTGAGGGTTGTAGAGCTCACTAATCACTGCATCCAGGAGAGAATGCATAATTCCATTTCCTCATCTGTAACCCTTATACTCTTCAACCACACAGTCCCAATGTGAAAATTTCTGCTGCTCCAATTTTATGTCTTAAACTAGTTTTCTTTAGTTTTCTCTCCTTTCCTCTCTTTTTCATTTTCCCTGCTCTCCTGAAGCAGAGTCTACAGCCTCTTCCCATAACATAAATACAGCATCTCAATTTCATTGTTCAGCCCTAAATGCAGTATTTTGTCTCCATTCTTTAATAAAATCTCCTTACACAGCTCTTTTTCCATCTAGGAAAAACAAGGATAACGATTCTTCACAATTGAGGTAGTTTTTACTCTTCTCCCAACTACACAGACAGCATAATCAATATATAACTGTAGAATGAGATCTTATACTATTTCACTATCTGCATCTGTGTAATAAAAAGACGATTACAGAAAAGATACATATTTCAGCTTCACTTCATACATAAACCTCTTATCTATTCCAATGCTTCAGTTATACTCCTTTGTGCACATAAACAGTAAACACGAGCTACAAAGACCTTCTGAATTTCTCACTTCAACATCATTTTCTCTGGGGTTCTAGCCTCTTGTTTGTTTTTTTTTTTTTTTTTGTTTTGTTTTGTTTTTTTTTTTTTGTTTTGTTTTGGTTTGGTTTTTTTTTTTTTTTTTTTTTTTTTTTTTTAATAAAAATTCATTTTAGTTTAGTTTAGTTTAGTTTGGTTTGATTTGGGTTTCTCATTTTATTTAATTTTATTTTTTTAGGGGTGCAATGTACCTGACATAGACTAAACAAACTTCTCCTTCCTCAAGTGGCACCTGTATTCACATTTGCCAATAAGAGAGTTTTAGAGTTAAGAGTCTTCCCTAAGAGTATCAAATTAAGAGAGCAGAAACATTTTTAAAAGAGAAACCTAACCAAAACAAAACCCATTATTTTTAAAAGCGCTAAACCAAAAAGCATCCATTAACATGAGTTAGTAAACTTTATAGTTCTTATATAAAGAAACTGTGACTACAGAGCACACCTTAAGAACAAGATCAAAACATACATACTTTAAATATCGCTTGCCTCACAGATACATGCACAAAAAAATCATTTGTGTATACAAAGCTTGTTCTTTCTAATTTAAGCATTTTGAAATTACTCTCTTCACAGCTAGGGAATATTTCCATACAGGTCACAGTTGATTAATGGGACCAGCTCACATTAGTCACAGTTCTTTCAAGAAAAACTTTTATACAGGCCATCTGTTGGAGTCTAGGAAGACTATATGCACATGCAGGCTGGAGTATTAAGCAAAGTATCCAGTGAGAGATAAAGAACACAAAACCAGGCTGTGTTCTGACTTAGTTTCTCTAATCTGCTAAGAGTGATTTGACATCAATATAAGCAAAATCAGGGTAACTTGTCCTCTACTGCTTTTCAGATAAAAATTAAATTCAGATCCTTGGATTCTTCTTCCACATATTCAATAAAACGGACCCATTATAATTTTTTTTTTTTTTTTTTTTTTAAAGTACAATATTAAAGGCATGCAGTCCCTGTTAAAAAAGACTGGAAATCTCCAGCTTTTATTTTTGTTAATCTCCACCCTTTAATTTTCTTCCAAGCCAATAAAAGTGAAGGCAGCTGTGAACTACTAGATGCTGCATAGAAGCAACCTTCCTTCCTGTGAAATACCTCCCTTAAAACCCAGTGGGGAATACAGCTCTGTTTTCAGCCCTCTCCCTTATTATTCTGATGAAGTTGTTCTTTCTGGGTAAGGCCTCTTTTCTTTTTTTCAGTATTGTTTCAGGTGTTTTGGTCTCTGAGTCAGTTAACTGTTGTTTGTCATAAGGTACTTGTAGGTCACCTTGCTGTAGCTGTGGCAAAACATTTCATTTTCTCTCTCTCTGTTACAGACAAAGAGAAGAACAGGCAGTCTTCATACAGGTCATGATCCGGATAGCAGTCTCCAGGTTGCTGGGAATCCTATGGCAATTTGACTGTCATCTTACATTGAGAAGCCTACTCATCTTGCTCTGCTATGGACTTTTATAAAAGTTATGTCATTGTAGCAGCTTGGGGAGTGTGGGAAGGAGAAGGAATGGGAGAACTTTTTATTTGAGCCAGATTCTGTGATTTTATATGGTGGATCTTCTGTAAGACAGGCTTACAGAACTCCATCCACAGAATCAACAGTACATGTGTAGATGTCCAGGAGTGAGATCAACAAGCCAGACACAGTTTTTTCAGCCTTTGATATATAACAGATGCAATGTCACCAGTGGCCCTAAAGGTACCCTTACAGCTGTAAAAATTAGTCAGATAATTTGGCTCTGAGAGTACTTGTGTACAAAATAGCAATGCAGTCAGTAAACACATATTGGAGTTTTCCCTTTCAGTCCCCAAAGGTTCTGCAAGCAGTTTATGTCTTTTCAGCTGGAATCACCCTGAGTTTTGCTATGGAAACATATTCAGGTGATTTCTGAACAATGTAATGAAAGTGTTCAGATTTGAAGTGCCAGATAAATAGTTTGGCTGTGAAAGTACATAAAGGCCATAGGGGCATGTTTCTGTTCTGCCTTAAACTGATTAGCTCTTGAAATCGAGCTCAAAATCTTTCTGTGAACTTTTCTAAATCAGTGAAAATTCAGACAAAAATGTGAAAATAATATGAATGAACTATTAAAATTTTTCAAGTAAATTTTGATGATTACTCCTTGTCCTGGGTTGAGTGAGTGGTGGGTTTTTTTGGTGGCAGGGGAAGGAGGACTGTTTCTGTATGACATGATCATAGTTTTCTGTGGAAATGTTTATTTTTTCGCTACTGCCCTCCAGCTGCTAGTGCCTGCAGTAAAGTGAATGAGCTTCTTGATTGTCATTCTTAACATTTTTTGTTCAAATAAAAACCAACACCTTAAACTTCCCTTAGTTATTTGTTACATGGGACAGCTGGTGGAATCAAAGGGAAAATTGTTTGGAGGGAAACAGTGCCTCAGAAGTGGGTTGAAGAATTATGCATTAGCATGTGATTTCCCAACGGAAAATTTCTCATGGAATGTGTATAGCAATAATCAAACTTGAAGGGAGAGACAAAATCAAAAAGCAAAATTTATCTAAGCAACAACTGTGGCTTGGATAGCCAGAAGGATTAAAGAATCAGCAAGATCTATAAAGGTTACAAATCCTTTAACCAAATGATGGGCATACTTTTTCAGCTGTATAAACACCCTCACTTTTTCTGGTGGATTCTCCCACTCATAAGTTAAATATTTTTTTTTTATATACATTGCATCTTAGCCAAATTAAACATCATGTATTACTTTTTTGTCTTTAATTCTCCTCCCTCCCTCCCTCCCTTCCTCCCTTCCTCATGATATATCCCCACACAAGGAGCAGCTATACTTTTGCTTTTCTCCTTCCTTCCATCATACCCTGTTAAATCCTGTATGCACATGTACAGTCATTTCTCAATCCCAATCCCAATCTTGGTGAATTTCCTGAATTCATCTGGCATCTGTTTTCCCAAGACTAAGCCTACAACATATTCAGATAAGAATGGACTGGTTCAGAGTTCAGGTAGTTTCATAACTTCCCGACAAAACAATACATCATATTTCTTGATAACAGAGTCACAAAATGCTTTGCCTTATTAAGATTTCCTATGTGGCAAGACAAACATTGATACTCTACAATAGAAAAGCACAGGTGATTTTCACCTAATGCGTGCTATTATTTGGTCATCTCATTTCTTGCCTGAATGGCTTTGGGCAGAAACATAAATGACAGCATCATATTTCAGCACCATCATCAGACCCTCAGTGGTCTCCAACAGTCTTCAACCTTAGAGTCATCCTTTATGGCTCATGCTGTCAGTGAAGCTTAGAACTGCCTTCAGGTTCTCAATCATTCATTGTATTGTTCAATATCCGTATCCTGATAATTAGACAGAAATTTATGTAATTATGTGTCAGGAGAAGATCTCCAAATGAATTCCAGCTGTTTTGGGGCATACGATCTTTTCTTAAATGATCATTTGTGTCTTATAATACTGATGCTTTGCAAAGCCTTGTCTACTGTCTCTGTAATACCATGGTTCGGATATTCTATTGATAAGATCACAGGTAAAGCATTTTTACCTTAAAAGCATGTAGAAATATTTTAAATCAATTTTTAGTAATTTATAATGAAGCATTAATATATAGGACATGAAATCTGGCTTTAATTGATAATTTTAGACAAGGATAATACTGTAAGACCTACACAGCCAGTTTTCCATATTAGTGTATTGGTTTTACTTGGTAAGTTTGTGATAGCAGGGCCACCTCTATGAGAAGAGACTAAGGGCTCCCCCTGTGCTGGACATATCCAGTTCTAGCCAGCTCCAAAACAGACCCACCATTGGCCAAAGCTGAGCTCATCAATGATGCTGGTGTTGCCTTTGTCATAACATAGTTAAGAAAGGTTAAAAAATGCCACACAGCAGCTGTGAGAGAGAGGAGTAAGAAAAATGTAAGAGAAAGAGCCTTGCAGACACCAAGGTCAATGAGAAAGGAAGAGGAGGAATAGCTCCAAGCACCAGAGCAGAGATTCCCCTGTGGCCCACAGAGAAGACCATGGTGAAGCACATTGTCCCTCTTGCATCCTATGGGGGACTCCATGCCACAGCAGGTGGATATGCCTGAAGGAAACTACAGCCCATGGAGAAATGAGGCTGGAGTTGGCTCCTGGCAGGAACTGCAGGCTATAGAAAGGAGGCCATGCAGAAACAGGTTTTCTGGCAGGACCTGTGACACATGGGGCATCCATATTAAATCTTTTCAGGAGCAGGTTTTCCTGAAGGATTGTAGCCCATGGAAAGCACCCACACTGGAGCAGAGGAAATATGAACAAAGAAAGGAGTAATAGCAACATGATGTTACAAACTAACTGAAGCCCCCATTACTCATCCCTCCTGCAGTGCTCAGGGTGGGGAGAAGGTAGAAGAGTCAAGAACAAAGAAGATAAAGGTCATGCAAGCTTTAGTCAAATAAGCAAAGTCCATTTTCTTTTTAAGAGATATGCAGGTAATTCAGATGAGATCAAACCAAACCTGTATAACAAGTTCCAACTCTGCACAAAAACAGGAGGAAAGCCCGAATTTATTTCTGATTTACTATTTTTTTTCACACTTGTAAGATTAGGTAAGATTAAATCACCACAGAAAGGCTATCATAGCTATTCTGACATAGAAATGACAGAAAAATCACATGAGAAAATTTGACTACACAAAAATTTCCAAGTAAGCTAAATTTGTCTGAGTGAGAATCTGAATGCCTGTGCCAGTATCAAGAGAACACTGAACATCAGATTCATTTCATATACAATTGTAATTGCTTTTTGGAAAAAAACAGCATTTTTATTAACAACAATATCTTCTTTTTTGTTTTCTGAATACATGTCCTTTTTTTTTAGGAAGACAGCATCTTCCACTGTTAAAAGGAAACCAGAAACGAAGCTGAGTAATAAGTATATAGACTGAATACATTCAATTTTATAAACAAGTAGAAATGTATTTGAAAAAGCATGCATAACTTGAAAATGTTCAATACTGATGTGTCACCAACCACTACAGCATGAACTCATCTTCTATGTGCCAAAATCCTCCATCTAGTGAGAGTGATCTCACTAATTTCATGGTTCTAAATAACCCAAATCCTTGAGTCACTGTGTCATTCTATTCTCTTTGTCTCTGCTCTTTCCATTTCAACAATGTCTTTTTGAAGCTAGAAAAAAAATCACCAGGCCTGAAAAATTCCTATAATTCCCAACTTCACTCTCCTTTTTCCTTAATTTTGGCACAGTGTCCTTTAAATGATAAAAGCAAATGATCAAATCAAATTATCTTTTGCAGCTCCCTTTGAGATTTTGTGTTAGAATATGGCCTTCAAAACCTAGGTTTCTATTGGGAAATAATGGTCTTGGCCATGGTAGAATATTTTATCCAATAATGATAGTACTAGTGCTTATCACCACTGCATGCTCACCATGACTTCGTGTGGGTTTTATGGTTGTTCAGCACTGTGCTGAATTTTTTGAGCATGTTATAATGAACCCATAATCCCAGATATCTTATCTATCTCAGTATATATTATGTGCTTGTATTAAATTATGTTTCCCAGACAGCTGTCCACTCACAGTAATGTAAGTAATGTAAATCAGTAATTGGTAGGCCTTACTCTCCTTCAGGATATTGTTCCTTCCACTGTTCTGTCAGGACAAAATAGTCAGAAAACTAATTAGCTGAGAATTCTCTCAATAAAAGTGTTTGTAGTGGTGGAAGCAGGCAGTGAAAACATTTTATAAGAATGCCTCATTCAACATTGATCTTGGTTTGGGACTATTGCACTGGAGAAACTGCTAGTTACTTGTGTAATTTAAATTAACCTCAGAAACAAGGGAACCCAGACAAAAATGAAAACCCTCCTTCCATATACCTTCATGATAAACACACTGTAGAGAAACTTAAGACTGTGATATATAAAATGACCTTGTCTTCTTCATTATTTCCTTCGGGAAGAATCAACATACATAATAGCCAATTCCTAGGGGATGCTTATTAGGTCATAAATGCCCACAGAGCTATTCAGATTCATGAAAGTTCAAGATATGGTACTGTATAGTGTTAATTTATGAAGCACTCAAGTTATACATCTATATTCTGCTGATGTTTTCTTTGTAACAGAACAAATCAGAATACAAAGAAACTACGCAGTCAGAGATGTGTCAGATATACTCATTCAAATACAAAATTTGTACATGTACAAACAAAAGCTTTTAAACTAGGATGTAAAAAAGAACCAGAAATCAAAACTTTACATGAAGAGACCAGGAATTAGTAAGAAACATAATGCATTTTCTTCTTCCAATCAGAGACAGAATTGGCAAGAAGTAATAGAAACTGATGTCACCACAAGAAGTCAAACAGCATTGTCTGTGTATTCAGTGTTACTCTTGGGCTGTAATTTGCTGTTTCTGCTTGTCCTTTTTTCTCTTTTGAACAGGAACATGTAGTATTGATGAAAGATGTGAAAAATTTATTTTGTTTCTCCATCTCACTAACTCAGTTTCAAATATGAGGTACAACTGTATCTGAGGTGAAAAAACACCCTCTCATTAAAAGTATGTGGTGGTCTTTCATGGTAATTCAGGCAATGAAATCCAGATGAAATTATATAATCAATGATAGGTAGAAACTGCAAGAAAAATATCAGAAAATGTACAGAAAGAACCCTGTGGGGCAGATCTAAAATTCACAATAATAATCCTCTCCATCTACAGTTCTGTTTCCATGGATTCCTAAAAGGAAACAGTTTACATTATGAAAGCACTGTGACAAGGTCCATTTATGCCACTGAAAACAATGATGCCCATATAATCAAGGCCAAACTATGAGTATGAGTAATAACGTCTTTGTAACTCACTAGGATG